TCCTGAGCCTCCCCTAGGTCGACTCGGCCTCAAATTAGTACCTGGTGCGGTGGGTAAAAATCGGGCGTGGAGTTGGCCACCCACCGCCTCGTGTGCCGTTCTGGCCTTCATAGGAGCTCGCTATAACAGCATTTGCCCCAAGTCTGTTAAGGCTACACGGGGGATCTTTGTCTCGTCTTGCTCATGAGACTATCCTGGTCTCTTTTGAGTCCTCACCCTGCTTAAACAAAAATAAACTTTAACTTGTAGAATGCGTACACGTTTCAACCGTCCACAAAATAACTGGATAATGCACTGCATTGAGACCTGGGTGGGTTATATTTTGAATGGCAGTGGAGGGATGGAGGCGTTCGATGAATAGCGGCGGTGAGAATTGGTCTCCTTTGCGGCTCGGGCCAGTTTAAACCAGGAAATCCCCTAAAAGCGTGCAAAATAAATAAATATAAGAGGACGTTTTGAAAAAAATAAAATTGAAAAACACACAGTGCGCACGCAACTTAAATTGGTATTGACTGAAAAGCCAAACAGAAATCGTTCGTGCGTTGAACGCCACGATGTTCGCTGTTCGAGGCCTGTGAAGTTTCGTTTTCACAGGCGCCCGCGGACGTGTGTTAAATGTAAAATGTTACGACACTGCACACACACCACCACCACCACCACTCGCTCGGTTGGAATTTTGGTGCAACTATGCCTTGGGTCCACTTAGCGAGCAGAAACCTCTTTTTGTTACAGGTTTGCAGCTCTGTGATTTAAGCACACAGAGTCACTGGCTAGAGGAAGCATTGTGGCTTTTACTCCACCCGAGTTGATAATGAGAACATTAACCTTTTTATCGAAATTGAAAAAAAAATGTATTTATTTTGCTCACGAATTTACTCTCCTGACCACGGTTTCTCTTGTAAAGAATAGTTCGTGTTGTTTTGTGTGTGGTTGTGTTTGCGACGCCATGCACGCTTGTGCGGCGCGTGCGCACGCGCGTGCGTGCGTGGGCACATTTCTGAGAAGCGTGTAAATTATTAATCGTGAAAGGAAGTGTGCTTTGTGGCAAAGCAATTAGCAAAAACAAAATATCATCACCAAAAAATGCCCTTTACTTTGTTGAAGACCTGCTTGGGTCTCCCTCTGGGATGTCCATAAATGCTCATGAAGCCCCAAGTGTTTGTTTTTGCTAAGGGCCCTTGCCCGCTTCTTATTATTTTGTCACGCAAACAAGGCAGTTCCATGCCCCCTGATGTAAGAATTTCCTCTCTTCTACCGAGCTGTTATACACAACGGGGAGCGACTGTAATTGACTGTTCGCAATGGATGTGGTGGAGGGGGGGCAACAGGCCGACATCCTGCAAATTATAAATTTAAAAAGATACAACCGAAAGATCATTTCATGAAAAAAAAGGTTCGCAAATGCCTATTAAGGTGGCCAACGTGGCACACTTATGAAGGGAGTGGGTGTGTGGGCAGCAGTGTGCACGCCTGGCTAATTTCAGACTGCGTGTCAGTCATCTGATATGTTTGTAAACTTTCAACCTCAAAGCCAGGTTACGCTGAATTAAGTGAAACGGATTTGTGTGCAGTTGCTGGTGACTGGACAGCATCAAACTCATTACATTAGGACTGCAGGTGGACCAGAAGGTTTCTAAATGCCCATATCAGAACCTTGACCTAGGGCGGAGATGGAATCTAGCTTACAGCCAGCCTTATTTAAAGTGGGTTTCTCAAGTGTACTTAGCTCATGGTCTCAGCCTGGTCACCAATGACAATACAATTCAAAACAAAGCATGATATAACATTTTTTTATTCATTCAGTAAATTTCAACTTCTGATGACTGCCACATGGAGGGCATTTTCAGAAGGTGCAAGGTAGTCCCCATTCAAGTGACTTCAAAACTTCATTCTGTGAATTTGAACTTTCATAGCGATTGTTTGACACAAGGCTGTGTACCGCAAGCTGTGACAGTTTTGAATGTGAATCACTGTACCTTCTCTTTACATAAATGCGCGTTTCCCAATTGATAAATAACTGCAAAATAAACCCCTCGCAAAATTAAATCCTACAACTGATTATTATTATTATAATATATTTTTTGACATTGTGACAAATGCAGTGGGCACCAGTGGCTGCGTGTGTGTCATATGAACCGCGGCACATACAACATGGGATTGTGCCGTGGTGTAATGGTCATTATGACACTCAATTTGCAATTCAGAGGCCTTTGATTCGGTCTCTCGGCTTGGCGGTTCAAACAGTGCTGGAAAGCTTCTTAATTCCCTTGCCCGTCCACCCGGCATTGTAAACGGGATGCAACAGCAGAGTCCGTCGCCCTTTTCCATGATGTCTGCAGAACCAGTGTGGAAGAGGAGGCCAAAATAGGCCCCCCAAGGGTGCACACCTACTGGAAATCTCCTTCTGCCAACAGCGGCGCGAGCTAGAAACTGCAGGGCTGCCCCCTCCACCTCCGACATGTAACGTGCAACCGCACCTCCGATGAGCACGGCCGTCTCCGTACGGTGCGAAAGAAGCTGTGTACGAACGCGCGCGCACACAACGTGGATTTGAATTGAAAAGAAAAACACCATCCATTTTTTGCACGAGCATTGACGCGTCGTCACGCCCCCCCCCCCCCCCCCCCACATTCGCCGTGCTCTCGTCACGCACGCGCGGGGAATGTGGCGCTGGCCACAGCACCGCGTGAGTGGCGAGGGACGGCGGGAGGTATTGATTTGCCTCTAGGGCTGCGTTCGGTGAGAAAGAACCCACTTTTCAGTTTGCCTCCTCGCATCCCTGGACACCGTCAAAATGGGTTTATGTCTCGGGCAGCTTTATTGTTTTTTTTTGTTTCCCCCTCTCTCTCTCTCTCGCTCGCCTCCACCCTGCTGCCTGCAACCCATAAAGTCTTGGTGGCAGGAAGCAAAGGGAGAATGGACAAAAGGGGCTGGGTCGGAAAAATAAACGCACTTCCATATCAGTTGAGAGCAGGCGCATTAAGCCAAGGCATTCACAGTCCACACACTCATCGCTCTGTGGTCCTGATACATTTCCACCTCGTAGGCACCAAAATAATTTTTGTTTAAAATGTGTAACCATTGCGCCCGGTCATTGGCCAACAGCTATGCAAATGTGGAATTTCAACAATGGTCTTCCTATAGAGGGCCTAACTGGCCCCCACCATGGCAATGTGGAATTTCCTCCACTGGCTAAAAGCTGCCAACAGAGATGAGTGCCGCCCCCCCCCCCCCATTGCTCTCCCACGTAAGCAGACACTTTCACTTTTTTTTTTTAGAAGTGAAAGCTTCTGCAGAATTAAAATTCAGAGGCTCCCAGCGTGCGAAGCAACGGCACGCGCGGTACAGCCCTGAGTGCCCTCTTCAATTTGTGCTTCTTAACTCCGCGAGCACTGCGGGAACTACTCGCCTTACGCCTTTCGCGAGGCGCGACATCGAGAAATGTGTCACGGCGATTGCGATTTTACCCCCAACCATGCGAATGCCTGCCAAAAAAAACACAAAAAACAAATCGGACGTGGAACTCAAATGGAGCGAGCGCTGATCTGATAGACACGAAGGGGGCGACAACAGCACAACTACCACCCCCCTTCCTCCCCCCCCTACTGAAAAAGGCCGGGAGCCTGAACGTTGCCCCTACGTTAGCAGGGGGCAGTGTTCCCAGCCACCTTTCCCTGCCCCGAGGGCACCCGGCCGGCCTCAGAGGCTTGTCGTTCGCGGAACATCTGTAACTCTCATTGCCCGTCGCTCACACGCTCTTGTATACTGCTTTCTGTGTTTCGTTTATTCTGCTTCCACCGCACCTCAAACATACTGCTATATACTACACTATACACTACAAACTATACACCACGCTGCTACACACTACACCACTATACTAAATGAAAAAAAACTCATTCCTTTAGGAGTGCTTGTTGCGTTTAGTTTGTTGTCCTTCCCCCGCACCTCCGATGAGCACGGTTGGCTACGTACGGCGCGAAAGAAGTTCAACATACAGACGTACATAACACATCAGTGGTGATTGTTTTGAACCCGTCCTGCAAACCGCTCCCCCCACCTCATCCACTCCACCAACCCACACTGAGGAACTTAAGCAGCACGGTGAAGTACAGTCATGCAAAAATATAACCATAAAACATACGTATGTGTGCGAGTCTATGGGCGTCTGTATGCATGTACGCTGAACTTCAATTGCCCCTTACGTAGCCAACCGTGCTAATCGGAGGAGCTTTGGGGAAGGACAACAAACTATACACAATAAGTAGTTCTAAAGAAATGAGTTTTCAATCTACAGGGTGGCCCAGGTGTCTTGTGACACCCACTTAATTCTATAAAACATTTAAAATGTGGGGTCACAAGACAGCTGGAGCACCCTGTATATTTCAAAGCGTATTGCTCCAATGCGTGCAAAAAGAAGTTCAACATACCTCCATACAAAAAAACCATAAACTATTTTTTTTTATTTTACTCGGTTAAGGCCCACTGAGCTACACAGCGCTTTGTCAGAAGCCACTCGGCCACAAGTGACAGCTCAACAAAGCGGCTCATCACGTAAACATTCATCGCAGCCGAAAACTCTCTGAACGCGACCACGGGGGACAACATGCAAACTCCAAATATACCGCGGGAATCAGGCTCGGGATCGAACCCACGAGAACCTCCGTGTATACCAGGTGAGGTGCTTTAACATATCGCCGCCGTGACGCGCGCCCCCCTCCCCCCCCCCCCCCCACCGGTATATATATATATATTAAAAAAAAAAATCGGCGAGAAAAACCAAACAAGAACAGAAAAGTCCTCCGCCACCACCAACTAACCTGCAGGTGCGTGTGAGCGCACGCACGCACGCGCGCGCCCCCCTCCCTCCCCTCCTCGCGCGTGCGTGCGCCCTCCTCCGCCCTCCTCCGCCCTCCGCCCTCCGCCCTCCGCGGCTACTGCAGCGAGCACTGCGCACAGCGCGCCCGCGACTCGGACTCGCCGACGCAGCTCATCTCGCGCACCACCTCGGCGAAGAGCTCATCCACGCCCTGCCGCGTCTTGGCCGACGCCTCCAGGAACGGGCAGCCCCACTCGCGCGCCAGCGCGCGGCCGTCCGCCTCGGCCACCTCGCGCTCGCCCCCGGGGCCCGCCAGGTCGGCCTTGTTGCCCACGAGCACCAGCGGCACGCGCTGCTGCGACCGCTTGACGCGGCCGATCTGCTCGCGCAGGCCCCGAACGTCCTACGGCAAGGGGGGGGCGGGGAGGGGGGGGGAGAGAGAGACGGACGGGGGGGGGGGAGGGGGCGCATCGTCCAGCGTGATTGGAAAAGTTGAGCTGTGGATGTTTAATAAAATAATAAATTGATAAAATAAAATAACACAATAATACGTGAGAATATTATTGCGTTATTTTATTTTATCAATTTATTATTTTATTATCATTCTACGTGACTTTGCCGAAAGAACCAAAGAAGATGAATCATTGCAGTCACGAAAGCTTTAAATGGAAACCGTGGATGTTATTGCACCGGTGGCCCAGGTGTTGGGGCACATTGCACTATTGCACAAGCCACCCACCCCCACCTCCCACATTGAATTCCTTGCACCAGAGGCCCATGACAACCACACTCCAGCGCCAGAGGACTTGCAATGATGGTGGATTGACCATGGCCGACGACGATGATGATGATGACGACTATGGTGATCAAGGTATTTCCAATGCGAGCAAAGCCGACGGGAATAGTGTGATGAATGTCACTGTGAAGCATCGCAGAAGTGGTTTTGCATTGCAAGGGCATTAAAGTGATGGATTGCTAGAACAAATTGTGGCGGTGATAATGGTGGTTATCGCAGTGGAGGGAGTGCTGATGGTGCTTGCGGTGGCGATAATTGTCGTGGCGGTAGCGATGATGATCGTGGTGGTGGTGGTGGTGGCGTGATTTAAAGTGATGGTGAATATGATGATGACGGCAGTGTTGACAATTGCGGTTGTTTACGTGGTCCTGACCATGATAATGTGGGCAAAATTAATTATGAATGCGACTTCAAAATGATAGATTGATAATAAATAAATAAAAAAACAGATGACAAAGCAAGCGATGAATAACGTAAGACCATGGGGTTACACATTCGCCGACAAATTATAACGAACAACACGGCCACAAAACGCAGTCACGCGGGGGCAAACGAGACATTTTGATCGCACAACTGAGCAACCGCTTTTACTTTTTGCCGAGCGAGCACGGCACACACCGTTCCCGGGCTCTTGAAAAATTGCTCGCAGGAGCCACACAACCACCAATCCCGCTCCCCCACCCCACCACCGGCTCATCGCAGCCCACACGGCTCGCACGTATATCAAATTCACACGTTCAAGCCACCCACTCGGTTCGCCTGCACAAAAGGAGGGTGGGGGAGCGTGGGGAGAGGGGGGGGGGGTCAATGCGCCCACCGCATCGTCATCGTCTGCCGCTCGAGCAAAAACAAAAACATTATCATGCGGACCCCAACGCCCGTTGACCACAGGGCTTCTAAAATTTGAATGCGCAGCGGCGCGTTGGGGTTTTCATTTTTAAAATAGTCGTGTCGCTTATTTCAGAGCTTTTTCTTTTTTACAAAGGCGCAATGATACATCCTCAGCACAATGGGGGCTACCAGCTAAAGTGCTCGCACGCACGCACGCACGCAAACGTGCTCGGCTCCACAATGCCCGCCCGCCCGCACGAAGGAACACAGGGCGAACGGGCTCAGGTTTAAACGATGGTAGGTGCCGCCGAGATGCGGTGTTGCGGATGAATGGTAAGGAGTAAGCTGGCATGAGAAGAAAGAGGAAGAATGAAGATGTTATATTCTTAGTTTTTTCCGGTAAAGTCACGTTGAAGAGAAACAACAAAATAACAAAATATATATAAAACAATAAAAAATTCTCACGACGTTTCGACCATAACTCAAACGGTCATCATCAGGTGTGTCGGTTTGCATAAATTTATTTTGAAAACGGCATATTTATTTATTTATATTTATATAAAAAATATAACGTTTGCGTCACGCGCAACTATGGCAGTTTGCCAGGACTAGTCCATCTATTTTTTGAAAAGAGGAGGGGGGAGACGAAATTTGTTTTTATGTATGCTGTCTGAAAGGCACTGTAAGCGTGAACAATCAATCAAGAACTGAAATGATTTATCAAATCTTTCCAATGATTGCTAAGATAGAATCCATCTTCTCGGTTGAAATTGTCTCTGTGTTTGTATATGTGGATAGCCTCATGAACGAATCTCTCATGGAAGCCAGATGGCTTACAAAGAACCTCCGTCTTGGAAAAGTCAATGGCATGTGAGCCTACTGAATTAGAACAATGATCTGCTACGGCCGAGGTGTTGGTCCTACCGTGTTTAAGGTCTGCTTTATGTTCACGAATGCGGTCCGAGATATGGCGTTTGGTTTCTCCAATGTAACTACTACCACAGAGGCAACTTAGTTTGTAGACACCAGGGTATTGTATGTCCGGAATCACGTCTGTAAAAGATGTGATTCCGGACATACAATACCCTGGTGTCTACAAACTAAGTTGCCTCTGTGGTAGTAGTTACATTGGAGAAACCAAACGCCATATCTCGGACCGCATTCGTGAACATAAAGCAGACCTTAAACACGGTAGGACCAACACCTCGGCCGTAGCAGATCATTGTTCTAATTCAGTAGGCTCACATGCCATTGACTTTTCCAAGACGGAGGTTCTTTGTAAGCCATCTGGCTTCCATGAGAGATTCGTTCATGAGGCTATCCACATATACAAACACAGAGACAATTTCAACCGAGAAGATGGATTCTATCTTAGCAATCATTGGAAAGATTTGATAAATCATTTCAGTTCTTGATTGATTGTTCACGCTTACAGTGCCTTTCAGACAGCATACATAAAAACAAATTTCGTCTCCCCCCTCCTCTTTTCAAAAAATAGATGGACTAGTCCTGGCAAACTGCCATAGTTGCGCGTGACGCAAACGTTATTTTTTTATATAAATATAAATAAATAAATAAATATGCCGTTTTCAAAATAAATTTATGCAAACCGACACACCTGATGATGACCGTTTGAGTTATGGTCGAAACGTCGTGAGAATTTTTTATTGTTTTATATATATTTTGTTATTTTGTTGTTTCTCTTCAACGTGACTTTACCGAAAAAACTAAGAATATGAATTACTGCAGTCACGAAAGTTTTAAATCAAAATGAAGATGTTCTCAAAAAGAATTGCGACGGGCTGGAATTACTGAGAGGTCCGACGAGAATAAGAAATGCGGCTTGCTTGGGGCATATCCTAAGAAGGTTACAGCTGGAGATATCACAAAGATGATCCTACAATGGAAAATGAAAGGGAAGATAGTAAGAATAAGAATATGGATCATTTGGGCAGAGAATGCAAGCTGCTGGTCGGGACTCTTTTAGAGACCACGGAGATCATGAAAGATGAAAAGCATCTATCATGGACATCGACCCTCAATTATGAATAAGACACTTGGGAGGCAGTGTCATCGTGAGCTTCACGATGACAAATTTGCACTTTTTTTTTAAAGAGACACACGGGCAGAGCAGAAGTGAGAACTCTCACAGCTGCGTGAATTCCCCGGTGAGATTAATAAACACATCCGAAACCGGGCGGCTTTATTCTTAAAACATTGCCAAGAGCCAGCGGTGCGTTGGGGGTGAAAGCAGATTTTTTTTTTGGTTAAATTGTCTCGTTTTCCACACGATGAATAATATCAGAAAAACAGAACAACCATGCGGGGCAGACAGGACTGAGCGGGAGTCTTGACCTCTGCACAATGCCAATGTCTCCTACGCTATCCACAGCGTGCGACAGCATCTCATTTTTCCATGTGTTTCACTAAGGAAGCGAATGTTTTCCATTAACAGCACCCGGGGTCACATCCTCTATCGTTACTGATGAAGACAGCACCCACACCACCACCGGCTGCCTATGGTGCCAAGACGAAACTATTTCACAATAACAATTTTTTTTTACCAGGTAAGGCCCACTGAGCTATAATAGCTCTTTTTCAAAATCGACCTGGTCACAAATGAGAGCTCAACAAAGTGGCTCATGAATGTGGAAATAAATATCAGTCAAATACTCTAAATGCATGTTCATAACTCCAAATATAGAGGCATCAGGGTCGAACCCACGACCTTCTGCATACCAGGCGAGGGAGTGAACATCTGAGTATTGTCCCCTGTATGCCTGGGTATGAATCTGGGCACACACCGGTTACCCACCCATCGGCCAAAACACGCAATCGTGGAAATTGCCAAACATCCAGAAATGCAGGAGCCTATTGAAAAGGTCTCTCCATGCCGTGCCAGTCATTGCGGTTGTATGACCATACTTCACCACACACTGGCCAGTGCGGAGCGGCAACAGGGGGGGGGGATTCAAGAGAGGTTCAGATTTGACTTTCGACCGATGTTCGCCATGGCTGGCAATGTAACCCAGGCTGACGGGTTCAGTGGTGCAGAGCACCAACCACTCCATCAGTGCCAGTGTTCCCTCATTATTTGCATCGAGGGATACGTACCAGAGGTGCTCTTGAATGAGCAACTCGAAGGATAATGATATTGGCCTACGAAAACCTATATATATATTTTTTAATGAATTGCCATAAATAAATAAGCTATGAAAACACATGAAAATGATAATAACACAACTAAATACAAATTGGTTGTAATAAGCATAAAGTAAATAAAAATAAATATTAAAGCATTAAATAATATTCTTGGTTCTTTCGGTAAAGTCACGGTAAAGTTGTTTCCCTTCTACGTGACTTTACCGAAAGAACCAAGAATATGAATCCCTGCAGTCACGAAAGCTTTAAATCATTAAATAACAGTTTATAAATTAATTTACTTTCAATTATCACTTCATCTCATCACATTCTCGCTCTCTCTCTCGATGCAGTCGTGTGGAGTTTCAGATGTGAACAACGGAAAATTCCACGTTCCCATGACGAGGCCACATCTCCCCACAGGGTGAACATTGCTAACGTCTCACAAAGTGGTCATTGCCTTTCGGACCCATTTGGGGGAAGCTGATGATGGGCCACAAACCGGAATATTAACACGCAACATTCTACTGCGTGCGCGTTTGCGCGGTTGCGCTGCAACCGCTGTGCCGCGTGCTTTGAGCTTGTGTCACGTTTGGCCGGCACAATGTCCGACATTTCAATCAACTTGCTCGCAG